AAGTCCAGTGTACCAGTGATTTCTGCAGATGGGCAGTGACTTTTGGTTTGTCAGGTTTTTGGTGTGTGTTTGTGGAAGAGAAAGGGAAAGCTGGGGGCAACAACAGTGACTATGTCAAAGCAAATCTTCCCTGAGAAGAAGAGTGTCCTTGGGTCATAGTGATGCTTTCCTGGGTAAAGTGCCTGCTACTGGAGCAAGAGGACCTGAATTCAGACACCGAACACTTAGTAAAAGTCAGGGGTGGTGGTAAATGTTGTGTCGGGCAGAGACAGGCAGATCCATGGAGCCTACTGACCAGCCAGTTTAGCCAATTGTCAGCTACTGATAATAAATATCATAGTTGTCACTATAAAAATGGTCAAACATGGAAAGAAATATTACTAGTCTATATAAAATAGAAAAGAACCAATAAAGCACTTTAGTTAGTGAAACATTAGAGCTGCTTCCCCTTAGATAAAAACAAAAGCTGAGGTAGGAGGAACGTGAGAACAGTGCCAGGCTGGAATAATCAGTGAGTTCTAAGTTCTGGCGTCTCAGTAAAATGAGGGTGAGGAGGGAAGAGACAATAATGAGAACATTTCTGGAGGCTTGAAATTGATGGTTATATTGAAAGTTACAATTTATAAACATTATAGTATTTTTTATAATATTATTATGATTATACCTATTTTTTATAATTTATTTTTATTTTATGTGCATTTGTGTTTTTGTCATGGCTGTCAGGCCCCTGGAACTGGGATTACAGACAGCTGTGAGCTGCCATGTGGGTGCTGGGAATTGAACCCAGGTCCTCTGGAAGAGCAGCCAGTGCTCTTTACCACTGAGCCATCTCTCCAGCCCTACATTATAGTATTTTTATTTTTATTATATTTATTTATTATGTATACAATATTCTGTGTGTATCCTGAAGGCCAGAAGAGGGCGCCAGACCTCTTTACAGATGGTTGTGAGCCACCATGTGGTTGCTGGGAATTGAACTCAGGACCTCTGGAAGAGCAGGCAATGCTCTCAACCACTGAGCCATCTCTCCAGCCCCCATTATAGTATTTTTAAATATTAAATTATATTTCACCTAGGACACAGTAGGAATAATATAAGAACAGAGGAAGTTATTGATATGGATATAAAAATACAAATCAAGATAAAAATTGTATCTGGTTAATAAATCTTGAATCAATATCAGAAACCAAAAAACCTCAAGACCAATCCTGAGGTAGTGAAAGAAAAAAAACAAGGGAAGTGCTTTACATAATTCAAAATAGATAGTTAAAAATGATTACAGAGATTAAAGAACTGTGCTTTAACTACAGAGATTATATTACTACTTCCAAAAACTAAAAGAAAATACGATAATTGACAACCATTTAAAAGTGTTATTTTATCCAAATGTAAAACAAAATCAAGAAAAGTAGTTTAAATTTTTAACCCTGATAGATGGAAACTAAAATTCTCCACGAGGAAGATTTCAAGTTTATACAGCTGACAAACAGCTTAGAGAGAAGATCTACACATGGGCTTTGAATGCTATCTGAAATTTTTCATCAGTAAAATAGACATTTTTCTCACCACTGATTACCATAAAGAGTATGCATATAGTTCAATGATTAGAGAGGAAACTTAGAAATCATGATTACTTCAACTGGGACTGATTTTAAGTGGGAAGTCACATCAACACTTAGTTTTTTTTTTTTTTTTTTGGTTTTTCGAGACAGGGTTTTCCTCTGTAGCTTTGGTGCCTGTCCCGGAACTAGCTCTTGTAGACCAGGCTGGCCTCAAACTCCCAGAGATCCGCCTGCCTCTGCCTCCCAAGTGCTGGGACTAAAGGCATGGGCCACCACCGCCCGGCTAACATTTAGCTTTTATAAAAATATGTATACTGGAAGTGTTAGCTAGGGGGAGGGAAAGGGGAGGCGGCAGTGGGGAAGAGACAGAAATCTTTAATAAATAAATAAAAAGAAAAAAAAATTTTGATAATAAAGAGAATGAAATTAAACCTGTTAAAAAAAAAGCTTTAATCTGCTTAATTCTTATTACTTAGTATATGTTATGAATTCAGCTTTTAAACAGTGTGAAAAACTAGATAGAGG